CACTCTGGCACTGGAGTGAAGCCCTCCGCCTCCTTAAGTACAGATCTCCTGATGAGCAGATGAGAGACAGGTGGTGTGGTCGGCTCATGCTCCAGGAGATCTCGTGCGCCCTCTGGTGGAGAAAGTGGACAAACCTCCAGATCCCAACAATAAATATAAAACTAATAAAAAGAGTTTGAGCTCCTCCTATTAGGTTTTACTTGAGACTAATATTGGATGTTTCTTTTCTTACTTTGATTTAAGAGAAAAGCAGGAAACGATTCCTGCTAAATGTCTGGGAACATCTAACTTTAATTTAAAGATTCAATGAAATTAAATTCAAAAATACTTTACTAATCCCAAAGGTAAATGTTGCAGTAACTCATTGGTTGTTTTTACCAGGTGTTCTATGTGTTGATAGCTGTAGGCAGGAAGAATTTTCTGTATCAGTCTGGCTTGCACCGGATCTTGAGAAGCCTCTGACTGAGGACATCTTGCTGTTTATAAATCTTCTCAAGAGAATGCTCACAGTTGTCCATGAGCTTTTTGACTTTATGAATAATTATTCTATGTGAAATCATCTCCTGAGCTTCTAGAGGAGTTTCTTGAACAGAACTGGTCTTTTTAATTAGCCTGTTAATGTTTTTTAAAGTAATTTGCTCTGTTACCCTAGTAGATGATGGAGGAAGAGATAAGACTGTCCACAATAGACTTATAGAAGATATGTAGCATCTTGTTTTAAACTCCAAAGGATCTAAGCTTCCTTAGGAAGTAGTCTGCTCTGTTCCTTCTTGTAGATTTCTAAACAGTTGTGTCTCCTGTCTAGTTTGTTTCTTGGTGAGGTGAACCAACAGAAGCCTCTCTGGGACTTTCCTGATGTGGGATGTTATTAGTCACCGAGTCATCTTTGGCACTGGAACAAGGCAGGAGGTCTTCCACATCTCTTGAACTGTCTCCTGGGTCAATTCCAGTGACGACGATGAGATATAAGAGGTGCTGTAGAATCTCACAGAGCTCCGAGATATAAACCCGCAGCCATGTTTCAGTAAAACACTTAATACTGCATTACTAATATTCTGGCTGGGTCCTCGCTAGGTCTTGGAGGGCTTCTAACTTGTTTCCTTAAGATCTTACATTGATCTTTTCTTGATGATTGATGGAAGAAATGGGTCAAATGTTGCTCTCTCTTCTCCTTGCTCCTGCTCTGCATCCCTGGTGCCTCCTCTTCAACTCAGCTTGTACTTGAGGAAGTAATTGATGTAATATTTGAGCTTTAAAGATGCTAAATAGCTGCTCCAGGGTGTAATTAATCAACTTGCTGTGGTTGCTCTGGTTACGCTTTATAACAAGTAAATATCAGTCAAATTCTTTCCGGTTTCACAGCATTCAACATCACAAGCAAAAACCAGCAGAAAAAAAGAAAATCTTATCCAAAAGAAAATAGAGTTCTCGTCAATGTTGCCAGATTGGGTGGTTTACTGCCCAGATGGGTGGTTTTCATTTTTAATGAGGGAAAAAAGTTGCTTTGGATGGGTGGAGATAATATGGTCTGGTTCAGATTCAGATCGGCAGTTTTTGAGTTAAGCTATTAAAACACACGTCCACCAATCATTCATCATTGCTGGTTCATAGCAAAGCCTTCCTGACCTTTATCCACCACTGATTAGCTAATGTCGTCTGCCAGTGCTAGTTTCAGCAGCAGGTGGATCTGGTGCGATAAACTTCGGGCTGACGATCAATGCGTTGGTTGGAAGAGGAATCTTTTAAAGTTGCTGGAGGAAACCGCTGCTTTCAGAATTTAGCACTTGGTGCAATTAAATTCCTCACATTTCCTATATCAGATGCACCTGTTGAAAGAGCTTTTTCACAATTTGCTGTGAAGATATTCCGTTAGGTTATATCCAAGTAACGTCTTCCTATGTTACTTGGATATCACCTAACGGAATATCTTCGGAACGGCTCCAAATGACACAAAACTCATATGGGTGAGTAGAACATGATGTAATAACGTAAAATCAAGGGCCAAATGTAAAAAAAAAATGGCGTTCCCCTTTAAGAGAACAGCTAACACTGAGTCCTTTCTGAAGTCCTTTCCCCTCCATTTGTTTATCATCCTTATGATAAACAAATACAAACACCCAATAATAGCCTTAATAACCCGGCATAGTTTTATGCTCTTGTTTTGCTGACAAATATGCTTTTGTAGTAATTATTTCCCTTCTATACTTTAATAAATTCCAAAATAAATGTGGTTGGATTGTTGACATGCTTTTTTTTATGCCCAAATAGAATCATCGTATTTTTGGAATTGTTTTTAGGAATGCTTCTATTCAAAAAAGCAGGACCTTCAGAGTTGATTGGAAGGGGGATGCTGCACTCTGAATTAGTCACTAGTATCCACCAGCAGGATATTTACATCATTTAGTCTGAGCGTATATAAAGCTATTCTTTGGAATAGTTTGCTGTAAGCCATATAATGGACACAGTAGGTGCTTTTTGACCTACAAACATGCAGGCAGTGGCAGTAGCATGATGCTGTTGCGATTCATTTTCTTCAATAGAGACATGGAATCAGTATATGGAGATCATTTTGTCTAAGCACAGAGCAATATTTGCAAAGCTGGGGTGGGCATACATTTTACAGCAAGGCAACAAAACCACCATCAGAGCTACGGTGGAATATTTCAATAAATATTCACTGGCCCAGTTGGCTTAAAGTCAACCGAGAGCACTCATTCAACGTGACCCAATCTGATTGAGCTTAAGCTTTATTCAAGTTTCTTCTTATGGCAAAGCATAAGAACATGGCAAAGCACTGGAAAGTACATAATTAAGGTATAAGGTATATATAAGAAGATGTATGCAGTTACACTTGATCACATTTCTTCAACTTTATCCAGAAACACATACACAATAGTTGATGCTGCAGTGACATCACCGTGCGATGACTCAACCACTGGACTCACCGCTGTGTATGTGTGTCTGTATGTCTAAAAGTGTGTGTGTTGAGTGTCCACCCACGCATGATGAGTCACCCAATGCGCAGCAGGGAGCTCAGCAACACCTCCCTATATATAGCCACTTCAGAATCGGCGTATGCGTGCGACTGAAGTGCTCAGCGCATCCCTGAAATCCCGCACACAGCCCCCCCCTCCACACACACACACACACACACACACACACACACACACCCAAACACACAGGGGTTGTGAGGTAGTTGTTGAAAAGAAGGATTCGGTGAGGCTGGTGTGGCAGAAATGTCCTCAGTTTCTACCTATTCTGCAGATTCTCTTTTTATGAATGAAACTATAGTTTTTATATTAGTGTTTGTTTATGTGTGTGTTTTGCAGCAATTTTGTATTATGAACCCCCTTTTTTATTTTTTTTAGCTCCTATTAAACCACACGCACAAACACACCTCCTCCTCTGCAATGAATGGACTGATTTGTGAATCATCCTGCAGTGAATCAGAATACCTCTCCCTCTTTTTCCCAGCAGTCTTTGCAGCATCTGAGTGTGTTTTCGTCCTCGCTGCCCCACAGACCTCTGGGAAGAGCCAAGTCGTCCCCTGCATCCGCTGTCAATCCCATCAAACACCTCTTCACCACCGGTTAGGCTCCTGCTTATTTATTGAGCTCTGTTAAAGGATAAACATCTGCTTTCTGATTAAATGAGAGTGGGATGGTATTAGTCCACCTCTTGAAAGTCTCTGCCTTGTTTCCTAGCAACAAGGAGCTATGTTTCATTTCTTTGGTTACGATTACATTGTTTGTAATAGTTAATTTTGTTCTGATCTCTTAGTTATTATTTATAAAAGTAAACATACAAAAAAAGTGAGCCTCTTTGATATTTGTGTGTCTTTTTGACATTTGAGTTTTTACTATATTGGCTGTTAAATATTGGAGCTCCCCAATAAGACACAGCACGTTGTTTATGAAAAAGAAAACTATTGTTTAAGAATTTTTTTTTTTTTCATTTTGTGAGAGCATTACAATACAGTGGTAGTTACTTTCAGGGAGCGTACAATGTTACTACCACCACTCACAATTATTTTTTGTCTGTACAAAATTATGGAATAATATACAAAGTTAAATAAATTACATCAACTTTGAACAAACTGAGAAAGATAGGCCTACACGAAAAAGCCAAAAAATAAATAAGGTGTCTACCAAGCAGTTTTGAAGTAAAGTATGAGAGATACAGTAATATATTAATCCTTAGACACTACAAAACTTTCAAATAAAAAAAAAAAAATAAAAAAAATAAACAAGCTTTGCATGGTCATCCATTCTGTACTTCGGTCTTTTCAAGACCAGCATATTTAACCCACTTGGCCCACCTCTTAGTGAATGTTTTTTTGAAGTTGGAGGCAGAAGGTGACCCTTTTCATAAGATAAATGTAATTTACAATATCCACTCTTGTATTGTGGGTTGGGGGCCGACCAACGTCTTGTGACTACTTTTTTTTACAAGCAGGTATCAGAATATCAAATAAATATTCATCAGCTTTCCTGACCTATAAATCAACATTTCCTAAAAAATAATATTGAAAACGGCATAGGTTGATTAGTATGTTGAAGAAGGTTCTAAGAAGGTTTTTATCAGAAAATAAAATCGAGTAGATATGGGACCTGATATATTGATAGGAGTGGTGGTCTAGTGGTTAGGGCATAGGGCTTTGAATCCTGAGTGTGTGAGTTTGATCCCCCACTCCCACAGACTGTCACTCTGGGTCCCTTAGCAAGACCCTTAACCCCACACTGCTCACCGGGCGCCGCACAGTGGCAGCCCACTGCTCCCCAGGGGGATGGGTTAAATGCAGAGAAGTATTTTCCCTCTGGGATTATTAGATTATATAAAAATATGATTTTTTTTTTGGGTAGCAGCGGAATAAATCCCCAAACAGGATTAAGACACCAGAATGGTTAGTTAAAATTGTTTATTAAGGAAAAAACTTGGAGCCAAACATGAGCAGATCGATGTCAAAGGAACATATGGCTCTGATGGAGAACTATAAGAATCAAAAAGCTTGTACACTGAGGCCCAGTGGGAAAAATGATAAGCAACTAGAAGAGCCAGTCTAAAGAGCTGAGTTGAAGCAGATGCATAGAGAAGGCAGAGCAGCTGAGAGACGGAATAATTATACACATTATCCTTTTATTTAAAAAGTATTCATGAATATCTACAACACATCTGAGGAACTAAAGTTAAAAAAAAGCTAAGAATTCCTGATTTAATGTCAGACACTCTTTTTGTTTTCTAAAAATAAACTGTTTATGTTTAACAATATCAGGTTTTTATCAGTTTGTTTTTAACAAAATTATCACCTTGAACAGTTAGTAAATTGTGGAGAACATAAAGGATCTTATTAAATGAACTTTTTGAAAACATGTTTCCACACATGATGCACATTTAAGAGCGATTACTTGCTTTGTCTCTTTACAGGATTGGTATATGATAGCCTAATGCTGAAACATCAGTGTGTGTGTGGTAACGCTCACATCCACCCTGAGCATGCTGGGAGGGTCCAAAGCATCTGGTCCAGACTGCAGGAGACTGGTTTACTGAGTCGCTGTGAGGTACAGACAATAGTGCAAGAAAAAACATTTGGATTTAAATCTTTGAACTTAAAAGAGAGAACGTGTTGTATGTAACCAAGCTTCTCTTCTCTTCTTCGCGTTCTCTTGGCCTGTATGTGAGCAGAGGATTCGTGGGAGAAAAGCGTCTCTAGATGAGATCCAGTCGGTCCATTCAGAGTTCCATACCTTGCTGTATGGAACTAGCCCGCTCAATCGTCACAAACTGGACCACAAAAAGCTTTTGGGTAATTGTCTTTCTCAGTCTACACCTACAGCAGGGTCAACAACAAGATGCTCTGGGCATCAAGTAGTCCCTACACATGAAGCACAAGAGGCTATTCTAAAAATAGCATGACTCACCTAGGAAATTTTATTTTGTTGTTTTTGCTTTTAATCATACTTGCATTTATATAGATTTGAAAATAATTTAAAAACATTTTGCAAAAATATGTTTATTTTACATGAAGTTTAAATGAACTCTGACTCTTCTACGGTCACCGGTGGTAGCCTGTCGTCTGACATGAAGCAGCTCTAAGTTTCAAAAAGGTTTCTGACCTCTGGTCTTTATAAGCATTAATTATAAAAAGTAATTTAGTTTTGTTCATCTTTTAATTCTGTTATTCTTCATCTTCTAGGAACTTTTGTCTCGAAATTTGTCCGTGGTGACTATTTTATAGTTTGTGTTGCTTTTCAGGTCCTATCAGCCAGAAGATGTATGCTGTTCTTCCCTGTGGGGGGATAGGGGTAAGATTCTCTATAGAAGTGGAATTATCTGAGCTCTATAACAGCTTTGGTCCAAACATAAACTCGGTGCTGCCCTCTTTAGGTGGACAGTGACACCGTGTGGAATGAAATGCACTCATCAGCGGCAGTCCGCATGGCAGTCGGCTCAGTTATTGAGCTGGCCTTTAAAGTGGCTGCAGGGGAACTAAAGGTAACATGAAAAAGTTCTCCCCTGTATAAAACACCCTCTCACCCGCCTTCACTCTGATCCTTTACTCTTAAATGTGTTGTTTTTCCACTAGAACGGCTTTGCAGTCGTGCGTCCACCTGGTCACCATGCTGAGGAATCCACAGCCATGTCAGTACCTTCACCTTTTCATTTTAATTGTGAGATCTGCGTGTTTTACTAGTTCTGTATGTGTATATCCTGACAGATCTGCATTCTTCTTTGTGTTTGTGGGCACATAGGGGGTTTTGTTTCTTCAACTCAGTAGCCATCACTGCCAAGCTGCTGCAGCAGAAGCTTGGAGTGGAAAAGATCCTGATTGTGGACTGGGTAAGGAGCACAAAAACACAAACAACATTCAGTTTATTTTGTGCTTAAAGCTCCCATTATAAAGTACTTTATTGAAAAACAATCAGTCAATAATTTAAAGGGAAGGTCACCAAGGGATAACCAATGGATCATTATCTATAGCTAAAACAAGAAAGTTTGCGGTTATTTAATTAATTTAGCGTTAAAAAAATAAAAACTATTTTCGACACGATCACTGTGTCCGGGAGCGGCCATTTTTGCCTAAATACAGTAACACCTCCCTCCTGCCATCTTCCAGCAGTGACGTCACGGTGCGGTAAGCCTAGCGCCATTCTCCCCGCTTTACAAGCAAAATCAATGGGAACTACTAGACACATCTGCAATCAACAACAATTATTGAAGATTTCCAGATGACCATTGAAATGCATGGATGTTGGAATACATCGGATAATAGTGAAAAAGAACGAGTTATTTCACTTTTCCGATACTTGATCCTCCATGGACGTGTTCGTGTTGGATTGAAGAGGGAGGATTTGCCATCGAACTTCTGGCCAGAAAAAAAAAACACATAATATGTAGTCAACATTTGGAAGAAGAATGTTTTCAAGATGACTTGGATAATAGCGCGTTGTGACAAACACCAGATACAGCACTGGGACTTGATCAACAGCCGATACCGCACCGTGACGTCATAAACCAGTAGGTGGCAGTAGTGTTCATTGAAAAACATGGATGTCTACAGTAAAGCACATTCACATGAAAATTACCCCTAGTTAAAAACACTTAAAAATGCTTTAAGGAACAGTATGTAAAAATTTCATAATTAATGTACTTTCAGAAGTTTGAATTCTGAATATGACCAGACTTTTCCTTCAAAGAAAAACACAAAAAAGGAATTATAGAAACGCCTCTGACCATAGGCTGGTCCTAGAATAGGCTGGTCCATTGAAATCCCCTACAATATTAAACAGGAGAGCTAAACAGTCTAACATCCACCAGCACAAAAGGTTTAAACTTTAGGCCAATAATGTAAAGCAAAGGCCTGCTCTGCTTCTATGACGCCCAACTCCATACTGCGTAATACAGCTTAAAATATAAAAGCTAAGAGTAATATCTGTGCACTGCAGGAAAAGGTCACGATGATACAGAATATTATTCATGTGGCTTTTCTTTGATCATTTAATTTTCTTTTTGAAAACGGATATATTAATAAACAAAAACAAGTGGCTATTTTATTTTAAAACTGAAATTTTTACTTAAAATATATATATATTTATTTCTGTGACATAATATTCTGAATCTAATTTTTTATTTATTATTTGAGTCTTTTTTCTACTTCGATAAAAAAACTGAGTTATTTAAAAGCATAAACAGAGAAGTAAAAGGGTACTAATTTTATAACTGGATGTGTTCGCCAAATTATGATTTACTAAACAAAGTATTTTTTTATGTTTTCCACATCCTTTTTTTGACACAAAATAAGAGAAACAGCTTTTTCATTTCAGTTACTGGATTTTAAAACTAAAATCAAATTGCCACTTGTTTTTTGATACTGGTTTCTAAAAGGCACATTCAATGCCCCAATGACACATCCACCCACAACTCCTTTGGTTTACTTTATATGAAGTCTTATATTATGTGCTTAAGTGAAACAGGGGCATCAAGTAACTGAATAAAAAAATACTTTGTTACCTTACTTTAGTAACAATTTGGGCTATCTATACTTCACTTGAGTAATTATATTTTAGACAACCTTTTACTTCTACACCTTACTTTTTTTTCTGCAATTATCTCTTTCTACTCCTTATGTTTTAAAAATAGACTCATTAGTTTTGTGTCATTTAAGCTCCTTTTCATTATGGCCTGTTGGTATTTTGTGGTTATTATTTTGGTATGTGGTTGTTCACCACATAGCAACTGCGAAAATTAAGCATAAGGAATTATCATGCAGAATGGTTGAAAAAACAAGGTTAGAGCAGTAAAGTTCTGTCCTTAACATTATTTCCTGCATTACTTTTACTTCTTTTACTTTAAGTAGTTTTAAAGATTTCACTTTTACACTTTCACTTGAGTAAAAAGGTTATATTTATCCTCTAAATTCTACAAACGTGTTTTTAAACAGTAGGATTTATACTTCTTGAGTAATAAATGTGGAGAAGGGGGTCTAGTTTAAGGAGGGCAGAGTTAAACATTTTATATATGTTAGGAAATCATGATGCAAATGTTTGGGAAAATTTCTAATTATTTGACTTCTGGCTGTGGACATAGAGTTGTGGTGGCTGCTGTCGCACCACTGCTTGTCACTCAGGTGACATTATACCAGGGGAAAAACACCATTGTTTATTGTACATGTATCCAAGCATCTCAATGCCTTAACCACCGATCCCAATATGAACTGTGATTGCAGGACATTCACCATGGCAACGGCACCCAGCAGGCCTTCTACAATGATCCAAATGTTCTCTACATATCTCTGCATCGGTACGATGATGGAAACTTCTTTCCTGGCAGTGGAGCACCAGAGGAGGTATGTAGTCATTCACTTTTTATGTATAAAATGAAAGAAATGCGAAAGTTTGTTGAGTTTAAACACAGCTGCCAATATAAAAAAGGCTATCAAAGACACTTCACAATAAACCTACTACCTTTTAATGAATTGCCTATATCTGTTTGCAGGTAGGCTCAGCAGCAGGAGTTGGATTTAATGTAAACATAGCATGGACTGGAGGGGTGGAGCCTCCTATGGGTGATGTGGAGTACCTCACTGCCTTCAGGTAAAGTTTAGCCTTGCAGTAAACTGCTCATAATCCTCAGAGTAAAAGCTGTTTGTGTCAAAGTAGACATTTAGACTCTAACATTTAGTTAGAGTTCCCCTTAAACACAAAAGCTATAAAAGCAGTTATGATATTTGCCTGATCATATTTGTTGAGTTCTGATGAAGGATTAGGGATTAAAGTGACCTTGTCTTTAGTCTTGACTTCTTAAACTACTGGTCCAAAGCGGTCTCTCTTTTTCCTCCAAGCTCGGTTCCTCAACCAGAGGCCTGGGAGCTTATATTTATATATATAATATATAAACTCTTGTGTGGTTGGATGGTGACTAAGGGGAAGGTAATCCACACATAGGGGCTCTCACTCCGCGTAGGAACAATAGCAGACATTGATGACAGTTACAAGTGCCTCGGAATCCCACAAGCAAATGGCAACCTGGAAGAAGTGATAATGAAAGTGGCTACAGCCAAATACCTCCAATGAGTAAGGAAGGTTATAAGAAGCCAGCTCCATGGCAAGATCAATCCCCCTGATATTGGGTATCAGGCTCAGATGATAACTTTTCTACTCTGATAGCAAAGTTAAGGAAGGTGCTACCAGATGTTCTCCTGGATGATGTGAATTCTGCAAGTGTCACAGAACCCAATGAACTGATAAACACTACAGCATTAGTGATCCTTCAGTTGCTTGGCCAAGGTAAAGTCAAGAGCATCCACTGAAGACAATGTCCACCATGGAAGAGAGGGCTGGAAGCCAAAATCCAGGCAATACGGAAAGAAGTAAGCCAATTGTCAGAACTCCAGAGGGGATCATCTGGCTGAGAAAAACAAACAGATGGAAGGAAAGAGAGACTTATTCCAAGCAGGGTCACGAGGGGTGCTGCTACCTATCTCCAGCTGTGTACGGGAAGAGGCGGTGTCCACCCAGGACAGGTCGCCAGTCAATCACAGGACAACACAGAGACAAACAGGACAAAGGAGAATTTAGAGAAGCCTATTAACCTAACAGTCATGCTTTTGGACTGTGGGAGGAAGCCGGAGTACCTGGAGAGAATCCACACATGCTCAGCGAGAACAGGCAAACTCCATGCAGAAAGACCCTGTGCTGCGTATCAAACACACACACTGAACATTGTTGCTGCAAGGCAGCAGTGCTACGTATAAGCAATGTATAATCAAAAACTTCTTATAGCAAATATCATCTTCCCCACCTCCCTCTAAAGGACATGTAGTCCAGTCATACAGAAAGATTAAATGTCAACAGCAGCAGGTTTATCTCATTTGATTTGAATATTGTTGACAGTTCATTTTTTTAAGCAACTTAATTCAATAAGTGAAGATATTTTACATTACAAATTGTAAGCCTGTTTACTGGCATGGTGGCCTCTGGTTCTAATGCCTGTTTTGTGTTTGTGTAGGAGTGTGGTAATGCCCATCGCCCAGCAGTTCAGTCCCGATGTGGTCCTGGTGTCGGCAGGCTTTGATGCAGTGGAAGGTCATCAATCTCCTCTGGGGGGCTACAATGTTTCTGCACAATGTGAGTGCAGACTGTTTAGCAATCTAACAACAATGATTGTTTTGGTCTATTGTCCTTTCCAAACATGAGTTAGCACTAGTTTAAGCCTTGCTATCGATTAGCTGTACTATACATGTTTGCAGGTTTCGGTAAGCTGACGCAGCTGCTAATGGGACTGGCAGGAGGGCGAGTTGTAATGGCACTGGAAGGCGGTCATGACCTCACTGCTATCTGTGACGCTTCAGAGGCCTGCGTTTCTGCACTCCTCGGAGATCTGGTAAAAGATGAACTGAACACAGAAGTTATGAAGGAATGTAGGACAAGATGTTTTATAAGTTTGCAACAGTAAAAGGCGTCAGAAGTATGCAGATGAAGCATCCTCAGTCATCCAGGTCATAGCAGGGCAAAGAAATGCAAAAAGAATCCAATAGACTTATTTCCAAGTTGAAAGAAATTTGCTTCCCATCCAGGAAGCTTTTTCGATTCAAAATGTCAGGAATAGCGTTGAGTTCGAGCCTTTATACCGGAGGTCTTCAACAGGGGGTCCGCGAACCCTAGGGGGTCCGCAGAGGTACTGCATGGGGGTCGTAAAAGTTTTGGTTGACTTTTTTATCAAATTTTTTTATATTCCGACCTGCAATTTTTTTCCACTAATTGAAATTTCGTTAAATACACATTAACATGGATTCGACACACTGTAGTAAACAGATAAATGGAGGCAGAAGATTAGTCAGCGACACACAGGAGCTCTTTTTTTTTTATACACACACACAGTGTACAGGAGCTCTTTCAAGCTGGGCACCGTTTCATTCACAACACCTGTTCCATCAACGAGGAATCAGAATCAGAAATACTTTAATAATCCCGGAGTGAAATTCATTTTGTTACATGACTCCATCTGTAATAGAGTGACTATAGGACCAGTTTAATAGAACACAATTTCATACAAAATATATAATGAGGGGATCCCCACTCCATCTCGCCATCAGTTTGGGGGTCCTTGGCCTGGAACACGTTGAAGACCCCTGCCTTATACAATAGCCATTTGTTATACCGTATTTTCACGATCATAAGGCGCACCGTACTAAAAGGCGCAGTCTCAGTTATGTGCGCCTTATCACACACGCGCACCGGACTATAGGGCGCGTTTTTTATATACAGGTACATGTCCTCTACTACCTTTAAATAGCTCTACTGCTTATTTAAAAATAGAGCGGGAGCAAAACTGAGTATGACTGTGCTGTATTCATGTATTTATTACAAAGTATTAATCGAACCCATCAAAGTCATCATCCTCTGTTTCTGAATTAAACAGCTGCGCTAAATCAGACATGCCAATATCCCCTTCTTCGCTGTCAGAGTC